CAGCGCTGGGGAGGAGCAGAGGGCACCTGTCGAACCCAGCGCTGGGGCGGGGGAGGGAGAGCACAGCAGTGAACAAAGGTCAGATTTGATTAGCCCCAGGGACACGGCACTTGCCTGCCTCTTACAGGCAAACCAGGACAGCGCTCCTGGGACAGGTGCAGTGGGGACGACTCCGGTGGCTATCAGGGAGGCTGGGACAGAGAAGGGGAAACACTTCTTCCTCTCCCCAGTCGAGTAACTATCCTCCTCTGCCTCCTGCGGATTTGATTCAATATGACAGGAGGAAAATGGGGACATCCCGGGGTTTCTGGGATACCCCATCCCAACAGGGACATCCCGGGGTTTCTGGGATACCCCATCCCAACAGGGACATCCCGGGGTTTCTGGGATACCCCATCCCAACAGGGACATCCCGGGGTTTCTGGGATACCCCATCCCAACAGGGACATCCCGGGGTTTCTGGGATACCCCGTCCCAACAGGGACATCCCGGAGTTTCTGGGATACCCCGTCCCAACAGGGATATCTTGGGGTTTCTGGGATACCCCATCCCAACAGGGACATCCCGGGGTTTCTGGGATACCCCGTCCCAACAGGGACATCCCGGAGTTTCTGGGATACCCCGTCCCAACAGGGATACCCTGGGGTTTCTGGGATACCCTGTTCCAACAGAGACATTCTGGGGTTTCTGGGATCCCTGTCCCAACAGGGATATCCTGGGGTTTCTGGGATAGCCGGTCCCAACAGGGATGTCCCGGGGTTTCTGGGATACCCAGTCCCACTATGCAGACAGAAAAGATTTCCAAGTGCCTAGGAAAGTTAATTGTGCTCTGCCCGTGGCCCGCAATGGCCCATGGCCTCTGCTCCCCTAACCCAATTAAACACAGTTGAAGAGAAGCAGGGGTCAGAACTTAAGAGAACAACAGGAAGTGGAGACCCCCAGTCTCCAACCATCTGTCTTAGTGTCTGCTTCCCTCTCTACCAGACTTCCTGCTCCAGTGCCACACGGGTTTGTGCCTGAGCTCTCCTGGTAGTTATTAGCTCCCTGTTCTCTCCTTGCAGTCACAGAGCAGGGAGGGGGTCATGCCCCCTGGCTTTGCCAGAGCACTGCCTGCCTGTGAGCAGACTGTCGGGACTTTAGGGATCTGCAGGCTCCACTGAGCTCTAGCGCAAAATGGGAAACGCCACTTGCAGGCCCAGCCCAAAGGCCCTTCCACCCAGGACCCAGAATTGCTGGGCAGCAGTGGGTGTGAGTGGGATACTACACCATCTGGATGGTGAAGATTCACTGGGACACGCCATAAAGGCTGGTTCCCCCCATTGGTCCCCCAACCCACTGTTACGATGCCCACGCCGGACTCACAGCTGAGCACGGTAAGGTGGCCTTTCCTCGTCTCAGCACAGCCTCTGCCCCGCAAAGCAGCTCCTCTCAAGGCGAAACCGGTCTGATAAATGCCCCAGAGACGTCTGACTTGAAGAAGCCCCTTTCTCCTGCTTCGCTCCTAACAACAGGCAGAGCAAAGCGCTGGAGCAAGGGAGACCCGTCCTGTTCCTTCCTGCGCGGATTCCTGCCTCGCTCCCTCAAAGTGGAGCCGTAAGAGCCGGCCAAACCCCGCTGGGGGGAGCTGGTCCCCTCCTGGCGCCGTGCTGTTCCTTGCATGGCCCCGCGCTTTGCCTGCTTGGGAGTTAAATGCGCCAGGCAAGGGGACGATGTCCTAAAATATCCCAGTATCCCAGCACTTCCCTCCTAGGGCTCTGCCTGGTACAGAGAACAGGTCCCCCCCCACCCCCCTGCTCCTTCCTATATTGCCACTTTGTAAACATCACCCAAACTATGGCCCTGGTGCCACTCGTGAATCATCCCTCTTGCTCCCCGGGGTTTGCTCCGTCTGGTGATTTTCCGGCCCCCGACAGCCCTCACCACTAGGCAGCTGCTCCCTTCCCTAAAATAACCCCTCCAGCTAGTTCGTTATTTCCATTGCTCCCAGGCTGCGAGAATTCCCGGATCGGGGCCTGTGGCAGGACGCCACCAGCAGGGGGAGCAGGGACACCAGGTTTGGGCCTCTTTAGGGGTGGCGGCTGCCAAGACCCATCACCCTATTTCCCCTGGGCAGAGCTGGCTGGAAACGGGCTTCCACCCAGAGATGGGCTAAGGGGAAGAGGGAAAGGGAAGGGAAGGGAGAAAAAAACCGACAGGAGGGGAGAGAAAGAAGGAGCCAAGAGGGGGGAGAGTGACAGCAGCAGAGCCCCGGCAGAGGGAGGGGACGGGAGCGAGAAAGACCCCAGATTTTTGATCCATTGGATTTTACAGGGAGGCGGCAGGAGAGGGGTGGGCAGCTGAGACACAAGGCAACATGCCTCTCGCCCCGAGCTCCCCAGAGAGTCCATCAGCCAGACGAGTCTCTCCGGGGGATGGGGACAGCAGGAAAAGAGCAATCTTTTGGCTCTGAGGGCCTGTGGGTACGAGGGTCCCTTTGCCTCCTAGGGCGGGGAACAGGGTCTGGAAATCATTTCAACGTGGGTCTAGAAACCCCCCTTTCTAACTGGTTGGGCCTGGCTCGTGCGGCTAGGGACACGGCATGATAGCGCCCGATGCAGAGCCAGGCGCTAGCACAGGGGGACCCCTCCGCTCTGTGCAGATGGGGCTGTAAGGTGGGAGCCGTCAGTAAACACACTGAGGCTCCCGACGGCTTTGTCTGGCACCTGGGTGGTGGTTTGTTGGCTGCTGGAAATGGAGTAAAGAGCCCAACAGCCCCACCCTTTGATGCTTCGGGGCTGGGCCATTCTCATACCCCCATGGGCGATGGAGGGATGTCTCCCATGCCCCTGGAGGGGATCTTTCCAGGACACCCAGCGCTGTGCTTCTGCATCTCCTCACAGCCTCGGTCGGGGCTGGGGTCTCAGGCTGGAGTGCAGAGTTGGGGAGGTTACAGATTTTCTTGCTCTGGAAGCAGGAGGTAAGTGATGCCCCTGTGCATGTGGTCTGGGATTGTGTGCAGCTGGGCAACTGCCCCCACAGTGGGACGCCGGTGCCCAAAGCCCTGCTCCCAGAAGTCACAGCCTCATCCCTTTCGCTTAGCAGGGGTCAGCTGTGATCCGGGGACAGCTGATGGCTGGCGGTCCCCGGAGACCTGGCTAATCGCTGGGGGACAGAGGGGCTTGTGGTTAAGCACTGGGCTGGAACTCAGGAGATGAGAGGTCTGATCCTAGCACTGCATCCGGCCTCCTCTGGGACCTCGGGCAAAACAGTGAATCACGTTGTGCCTCAGTTTCCCCAGCATAAGGGGTAAGAATACTTTCTCTCCTGGCATGGGTGCTCTGAAGATGAGTTCATCAGCACCGACTCCAGAGATTAAAGAGACTGGGACTTTTCAGCTTGGAAAAAAGGAGACGAAGGGGGGATAGGATAGAGGTCTGCAAAATCATGAGTGGTGCGGAGAAAGTGAATAAGGAAAAGTTATTTACTTGTTTCCATAATATAAGAACCAGGGGCCACCAAATGAAACCAAAGGGCAGTAGGTTTAAAACAAATAAAAGGAAGTTCTTCCTCACACTGCGCATAGTCAATCTGTGGAACTCCTTGCTTGAGGAGGTTGTGAAGGCTAGGACTATAACAGGGTTTAAAAGAGAACTGGATACATTCATGGAGGTTAAGCCAGGGTGGGGAAGGAATGGCGTCCCCAGCCCCTGTTTGTCAGAGGGTGGAGATGGATGGCAGGAGAGAGATTCCCTGTTTGATTCACTCCCTCTGGGGCACCTGGCATTGGCCACTGTCGGCAGACAGGCTACTGGGCTGGATGGACCTTTGGTCTGATGTCCTTATGTTCAGTGATGAGCACCAGAGAAAAGCCAATAAGTAATTGAGGTGCGTGTCCCTTATTTCCAGCTGCTGACCGTCCCTCGGGGTCCTTTTGCAGGCAGGCAGTTGCTGTCGTTACCCCAGAGCCATGGGGGGCGGGGGAGGGCGGGAGATGTCTGGGAGCCCATCTCTCTAGTAAGAGGAGCTCTGTGCTGTGAGAACACTGGACATCTCCTATCCATTCCCAGAGCTCCAGCTGCTGCCGGCAATAGCTCCCAGGGAGACGTCGGGTTTTCTCTGTCCTGCACCTGCGAGCTGGCCTGGAGGGCAGCTCCACAGCCAGAGAGACACACCCCTCTCACACCTTCCCTTTTCCAGCCCAGGCATCAGCTCTTGCACCCAGACAGGCACACTGACCCTGCTGTACATCACCGGACAGTTCTGCTGCCTCAGGAGGCTGCTGGGGGCACTCACTGGTGTTGGAGCCCATCTCTTAGGGGATGTTTGGGGAACCGCGGGGTACCGCCTGCAGGAGGTATTGCAGGGACTGCTTTAAAAAGGGGCCAGTCTGCACTGGTTGGGTGAGCCCATGTGTCTGTGCTCTCTGGATACCAGGGCAAACTCAAGGGGGCTTTATCTCATTGTATCTGCTGATACGCTCAATCCTTTTTGTTCAGCACACCCTGTTACCCAAGTCCTGCCCCCACCCCACAGCCCGTCGGTCCTGTGTTACTCTGCTCCGCTATTCCAGTCCCTCCCTGGCTCCTCCACCGCAACCCTGAGCTGGGACCCGGCCTGCCACTGGGCAGGACCTGAAATTGCCGCTGGACCCGGGCCAAATTGCTGCTGGACCCGGCTCCATCAGGACCCCAAAGAGACCCAGAACACTCATTGCACGTGGTGCCACCCCAGTCACCTCCTTCTTCCCACCCCATGAGCGTTCCCTCCCTGGGATACTTGGGAGCGCTTGTCCCTGAGCCGCCCGGGTTGTCCTCATTGGAACTCACGGTTTTCCCGAAGTCGGACTCAGCCTACAGACCCCGCACACGGCAGACACCCTTTTGATTGATAGCCCATCTGCAGCCTGTTGGGATCCGTCCTCTTCCCGTTTGCTGCTTCCCCCTTCCTCCCCCCCAGCAATTTCCAACTCAGTGCAAACCTGTGTGTCAGCTCTGCTGGCGGCACCCTGCCTCCTTGGCATCCCTCGCTCACTCTGCCGCACTCTAGACAGGGTTAACATCTCTGTCTGTGCCAGGAGCACCCAGCCGAGGAGGAGAGAGCCGGAGAGCGAGAAGTGGGATTCTTCCTTGTCTTTTTCGGATTCTCCTTTTCTCCCTCCCCATCGCCGTAGAGACGGTCGCCGGGGCGAGGGTGTCCGGGAGGCAGAGGACGCATAGCAACAGGACTTCAGGATGAAGAAGGTCCAGAGGCATAATCTCCGGGAGGTAGGAGGCAGCGTTTTGTAACCACACAGAACGAGATGCCAAGGAAGGGGACAGCTGGGGGGCTGGCCAGCATGGGGGTGCCTTTTGCATGCAAAGCAGACAGGTGGAAAGGGCTAACATACAGCCCCATCCTCCTCCATCTCCTCTTCCCCCTAGGGAAGGGGGGCTGTTTCATGTACTTAATCATGGGCATTGATTGCAAATGGGGAGCCCAGGGTTTTCTGATCCCGGGAGCCGAGGCTGGATCAGCAGCAGATTAAGCAGGTGGGTGGCTGTCATTTCATAACGAGCTCTTCTCGCTCTCTTTAATTAGCAAGTTCAGTAAACATCGACGCCCGGCGCTGCGCAGCTAATTGGTTGGTCCCGTGTTGGCCTGCCAGCCGCGCTGTGGAGATGCTTTTCCTCGCGAGCAGGTGTTTCTGGTGGGATGATTCATGTTGTGTCTGGGCAGGCGGGGGCGGGTGCTCAGGTCCCTCAAGGTGCTGTGTGGCTTGCACGCCTGGCCCCCCACCCAAAGTGGGGCAGGTGCAGCAGGAGGTGGGGCAGGCACAGGTGCTCCGGGGAGGGAGAAGGCCCCGAGCTATATTTTGGGAGCTGCGGGCACTTAACATTCATGGGGATCAGGAGCTTGGACAGCAGACAGGAAGCAGTCGGATCCCTCGTGGGCCCCCCCTCTTTTCTCTCTGTTTTTTGGCTCCTCCCCTTCTCTTGGCTCCTCCCCTGCTTCTACCCTCTGGGGCCTCTCCTCTTTGGGCAGAAAAAGGACTGGGCCCCGGTAGAACCGCAGCTCTACGAGGGATCCCGAGAGCTCCTGCACTCCCGGGAATGGAGAGGTCTGGGGTGATTGGTGGGGGCTCTCTCCTGCCCTAGGGAACTCCACACTGCATGGCAGGTGTCCATCCTGTCCCTCTGGGATGCTCTGCACCCTGTGCGGGCGAGGGGGGGCTAGGAAGGGAGTGTAGGGTGGCTAATTCTGGTGTGAGGGGGCAAGGAATGTGTTGTAAAGAAATGCATGGGCGTATCGGGGGAGGGAGGGTGCTGCCCGCATAAGAATATGTTCCTGCGGCAGGAGAAGCCCTTTCAGATCAGTCCAGAAGGATGGGGAGGGTGTCGTCTCCCTGGCATGTACCAGCCAGCTCCCCTGCACTTGGCCCAGGTGCCTCCGTTTCCAGCCGCTGGTTTTTTTGCTGATATTGAGACTTGCTCCCCACCCCCCACCCCCTCCACACACACATCCCCAGGCTAGTTCATGAGACTGGAGTTTCCCTGCCATACAGGGTCAAGTGCACAAAATTACCATTTGCCTTGGATACGAGTCTGGCCTCTGAGGTGAAATGTCACATTGGGAGGAAAGGGAAACGCACATTCAAAGCCCTTTGGCTTGTTCCTGTCAGGTTCAGTAAGTCCCTTGCCTGTGTCCTGAAAAACCTCCCTACCAACACACACACACACACACACACACACACACACACACGATTTCTTTCATCCTTCTGTCCCGGCGGCCCCGTCTCTCTGCCCAGCAAGCTCCCCCGCGCTGGCTTTAGTAGAAGTTGTGGCCCCTGGCCAGTGTTTTTGGCCTGGCTTCTTTGCCATTTCCACATTGTGCGGGGAACATCTGGAGAGCTGGAGGGAAATCCTGTGGGATTCTTGACAAACGGATCCCACTAATGAGACACACAGGCCAAGCAGCGGGGCACTTTACAGAACAGTTGCAAATAAAACCGGCATTGTCTCACCCCGTCTCATTTTTTGAATCCTCCCCGCAGCTCTTCCATCCCCTCATGGCCCCTTCCTCCCTACGAGGCACCCCACCTTTCTCAGAGACCTGCCAATCCCTCAGAAACCCAGTCTTTTCCCTCAGCTCTCCTCTCTTCCCTGGCCTCCCAATGGATACGAGCAACTGGGGCAAGGGTGCTGTGCTACAGACCGAGGCGCACAGCAGCCGTTGCCTTGGTGCAGTGGCACTCCCACCAGGAGCAAGGGGCGGCTTGCAGCCCCAGCCTCAAGGGTCCACGAGTAAAGGGAAGAGGGACCTGTGACCCTCCCACATCTCTCCCACCCTCCTGCCCTAATCCCTGGGTCTCACACAGGGAGTTTGCTCCACATAAAGTGAGAACTCAGAGGGACCTGAGGGGAGTCTCTCATCCAATTGGCTCTAGGCCTCAGTTCCCTTGCAGGGCCCTTTGGAACTCACAGCCACAATAGCTAGGAACCTGCTACTAACTTTCTGCTTTCAGGCCCGGCTTTCGCAGACTCTCCTCCCATGCTTCTTCCTTTTGCTTCTGGGTTCACTCTCTTCTCCACTATTTCTCCTCCAGAGCGTGTGGTGCTTTTCTGCCTGCACCAAGCCCTTCTCTCTGTCCTGGCTCCCTGCTCATCAATCTCCCGCCAGGCTGCACTTTCAAACGCGCTGCTGCTAATTGTAGTGCTTGGAGTAGTGCCTCTCCGAGCTTATCACAAAACACGTTACCCAGGTCATGAACTTCTTTCTTCAGCCAAACGTTGTTTGGGTGCTCACGCTGCCCGGCTCTGCCTGCTCCAGGGAATTCCAACGTGGCCTTGATCCTGTATTCTGGATTTATTAAAAGTCCAGGCAGCCTGGTGGCTGAAATGAAAAAGTGGAAAATGTCGGGCTTAAGGCATTTCCTGTTTCTAAGACACCAGGACAGGTTCTGAAAAACCAGGAGTAAAACCCGAGTAAAACCTAGACGTATGGTCACTGTGCCAGCCTTGGCTGCTTTGGCCCTGTTGCGCTCTGCTCTCGTGGACGGTTTGCTTATTGCTCAGAACATATCATTATTTCTTCCGCGATTTTGGCTCAAATAATGACAGTTGAATCTACTGACAATGAAATTCTTCTCGGTAAATGAATGATCTACACGGATGCTCTCTCATTCCAGACCTCTCTCTTTCAGTCTCTCTCTCTCTCTTTACACATGCTGCTGTTATTGTTATATCCTAGAGGTGCCATTTATAGCCTTTCACGCTGTGCTCTGTTGATCACTCATGGTCTGCAGAGAGCCCGCTGAGAACATAAGAATGTTCCTTCTAATTTTTTCCACCTAGATGCAGAATAAATTTTGTTATGTGCACTAAGGCAAGTGAGCATGTGCACCACCAGTAGAAACACATGCTGCCGGCGGTGGGCACTTTGCTAATCAGCTGGGTGACATTTGAATCTCTCCTGGGTATTGCTCATGTACTCAGTTTACAAGGAACACTGCAGGGCAGTTACTGAGTGATGCATCTCTGGCAGTCAGATGTTTAGGGACACTCAGAACACAGGACTGCATCCTTGTCCATTAGACTGTAATGGACCACTTTTCCATTGGGCTAGTTGCTTGGTTCAAGTTCCTCTTTATTTCAATTCACATTTAAAAAGACAGCTAGACGGACATTCAAGTGTTACTTCCTGTAGCTGCCCTGGGACATTGTAAGGTTGGGAATGGGAAGGGAGGGGAGTCTGCACTCTAGTGAATGGAAGGGGAGGGGTTCAGGATATAATCTGGCTACTGAAATGTAGGCAGTGCCATGAAAAGGTTTGAAGACTCCTGCTGCAGCCTGTAACTGAAGCCTTGTCTACACTGGCGTGGATTGTCACCAAACACTGCCTTTTGGTGACAAAACAGTCAGAGCACCGGCACTACTGTTACACTTTTGTCAGGAAAAATGCCCTGTTTTGGCAGCAAACAACTTCAAGCCCTGTGAGAAACTTTAGTCTTTTCCCCTCCCTTTATTATTGACAAAGAGCCCAGGGTGGACTCTGCTGATTGTTTTGTCACAGAAAACTGGCTTCCACCAGTATCCCCCAATGCCCACTCTGATGGCTCTGCTCAGTGTGTTGTGATCTCTGCTGCCCTGCAGGCAGGTATCTCACAGCTGAGTGAGCTGGTCTGTTTTGGGGAACAAACACAAAACAAATCATTGGAACGTTCCTGTTCTGCTGTGGCAGGGGAGGGCTGGGGAGATGGCTGTGCTGCTTTGACAATTCTTAGCAGGGAGAGCTCCCAGAGCTAGGAGGGATTCCCAAGAAGTATAGGGATCACATTTCCCTTCCCACAATGCTGCACGGTGGGATGCTCACCCACAATGCTTTGCTTTCTCTTGTCGACCCGGAGCTAGCATTGTGGCCATGAAATGTTGACAGTGGGAGGCAGAAAAACTGTTTTTCACTTTTGGCATCTCTTGCGTGTCAATAGTACTTTTGTCACCAAATCTTGCCAGTGTAGACATAACTTGAATCTAGATTCATAGACTCCAAAGAAAGTAGGACCATTGCCAAATCCTAGTCTGACCTCCTGCCACAGATTTCCCTGAAATAATATGCATAGTATATACCTCTCATTGATTTGCCCATAAATTACTGCTTTGGATTACCTCACACTGGCAAGTTATTCCCACCCCTTCCAAAGTCTCTGTAAGATCCTATGAGCAATCACTGCAGTTGTTAGAGATCCATTTTAACCTTGATTCAGGGATACTTTTAGTTCCTGAAATAACAGCTCAAATGGAGACATATGTTTCCAGATTTGCTTTCCCCATTATTCATGCAGTTTTGCTACAGAACATTTTGGGCCCGATCCTGGCAAAACTCTCATTGAAGTCAATGGCAGGGGGATAGAGAACAGCTTTTCCACAATCCCACATGTTCATAGTCACCTAGAACCAGTGTTCCCTGTAAGCTGTGTACTTGTGCGGCCGCTCAGATTAGCAGAGCTCCTACAGCCAGGTTTGTATTTCTCCTGGTGGTGCACATTTGCACATGCCTCAGTGCATACAATCAAATGTATTCTGCACACAGATGGATGAGGTTAGAGGGATGCTGCCTAGAACGTTTGAACACTTCTTATTATCTCTTAAGTCAAGTTTCTTCCTAGGAGCGCAATACAGTTGCTGGAAGGTTTTACACAGTTGGCTTTGGGGCCCCCATCCTGGAGAGTTCAAGAGCTTTTCTCTCTGATTTGGATCCATTTTCCATCCCTAAGTTTAAGATCTTTTCCCCAGGCATGATTGAAACGGAGGGCAGCTCCGGTGTAACAGAACTGAAGACATCTCTCTTGTGTGATGGCTTCTGTGCCTTGTTTTCCTTAACAGTGGTTCCACAAAGGTCTGAGTTGGGTTTTGCTGGAGATGGGCCAGAGCTGGGGGTTGGGTTTGCCCCATTATAGAGTTGTGGGGTTTGGAGGGGGTCAGACCGAAGGTCCATCTAGCCCAGTACCCTGTCTGCCAACAGTGGCCAATACCAGATGCCCCAGAGAGAGTGAACAGATGATCAAGTGTTCCCTCCTCTGTCACTCATTTCCAGCCTCTGACAAACAGAGGCTAGGGACACCGTCCCAGCCCATCCTGGCAAATAAGCATTGATGGACCTAACCTCCATGAATTTATCTAGTTCTTTTTTTAACCCTGTTAACGCCCTGGTCTTCACAACATCCTGTGGCAAGGAGTTCCACAGGTTGACTATGTCAAGAAAAACTTCCTTTTGTTTGTTTTAAACCTGCTACTTATTAATTTCATTTAATGACCCCCTGGTTCTTGTGTTATGGGAACAAGTTAATAACTTTTTCCTTATTCACTTTCTTCATACCTGATGGCAGCTCTGCCAAGTCTCTTCTTTCTTCCACGGTGTTTTCTGATGCACTTCTTACTTGTAGTCATATAAGGGAATCTCTTTCACCCATTCTCTAGCATTTTGTGCATGGCAGGAGAGGGTTCGTTGGTCGCAGACCCTGGTCACTGGGGGCCCACTTGTTTTATCCCTGGTTTCCTCACCTGGTGTATGGCCACTGATTCTGGATTGGGCAAAAGACAGACTTTGGTTGGTGGGGGCTGTCACCTTTGGTGACTGTCTTGCAGAGGTGCTCATGGATCACCTGCATGCCACTGAGTTCAAAAATCATTTGTGATGGAAAAGATCTGCCGGAGGTGACACTTTTGTTTTGTTTTCCTGCTTGAAGGCGTCTCTTTCTTGTGTTGCTTATTTCTGTTCTATTTGAGGATTGATCTGTCAGTTTAACGGGGTCATGTATTGCTGCACTTCACTTTTGTTTAAGATTCAGCCCTGTGTGCCAGACTGAGTGAAGGCTTGTTAAAAACCTACACCCTGGACACATCCCTTGTCCTGTCACTAGTGGGTATGTTGGTGAATTTGCTGTATGGAGGGTAAGGATGTGGCTGGAGGGGAAAGCAGGGGGAGGTTGGCTCTTAAGGAGAAATCTAGCTCAACTTTCCTGGCTGACAGTGTGAATGGTCAAATCTTTCATGAAGGAGGTTATAGAATAACGTGCTGGCTTTACTGCAAACACAGGCGCCACGGGGAGTAAAAGTCACCTCGGCTGGCGTGTATTGGGGTAATTAGTCTGTGTGGCCACATCTCGAGGATTCATCTGAACTGGGGCTAAGTGAAACAGCTCTCTTGATGTGGTCAATGCTGGGGTGAAGCCACTTGGCATTAGCAAGGCTGCCTGATAGATTTGGATTTCTGCAGTTTCTCATTCAGCTCTCGTATTGTTACAGGTGCATGCCATGGGCACTGGTAGGTTGTAATGGTGTCAGCAACACTCATTGATTTTTTTTTTCTTTTTTATGATTCTATTTTGGTCTTGCTCTAGATTCTTCAGGTTGGATTTTTTGAGAGCTTGGAAGAGCTCTGTCCAAACTGCAGGGTGCTGCTGCTTCTTTTTATGAGGCTTATATTCTTTGCACGTTTACCAGAAGACAAGGGCAGTCCATGTGTGTTTCTGCATACGGATGCGCAGGCCTGTGCATGCAAGGGTGTAGTGGGGGGGTGCGTGATGCATGCAAGGGGGTAAATAGGTCTGGGTGTGAGTATGTGTACATGGCAGGCAGGTGCAAGGCGTATAGGTATGCAACCATCTGGGCAAACACACGCATACCAGGCGGGTCTGTGTTTAATGATCCGCTTGGCTACATCACACATGCTTTCTCCCTTTGAACAACTCCTCGTCTCCATGGAAACTGAGCAGCAGGAACTTAGCAGCTGTAGCTCAGTCACAGCGCTAGGGGAAAGGGCAGCTGCAAGAGAGGGAGAGAAATGGAAGAGGGGCAGTAAGGGGGGCTTCTCTGGCCCTTCACCTGCTGAGAGGGTTGCAATCTGGCCGGGTTTGGCCAGGTTAGGGGCACGGTCAGCCTTCCAGCCACCTTTTATTTGCTGGTCTGTCTGTATTTCTGGGCCGCAGACCCGAAAGGTCTCTGCCATCTTACCCCTGTGCAGAAAACACCCAACCAGGGCAGGTTCTAAACTAAGACCAGGTGCCCCCTACAGACACTGCCCACGTGACAGCTGTTCATGCTGATGTCTCTCAAACCCTCATACGAGAAGGGTTTGTTTCTTTGAAAAAACGACGACAGGATGAACCTCTCTAGTCCGGCACCCTCAGGACCTGACTGGTGCCGAACCAGAGAATTTTCCAGGCTGTGGGAGATCAGTGTTATCTAGCAGCATTGCCAACATGCCCACTGCTTACTGGGCTCTTGGAAGACACGTAGGGGTAAATTAGAGCTAAATAACAGCACAAACACCGAGAGCTAGGACTGGTGGCTGTAAACAAACTTAATGGGACTGCAGGAAACTTGGCTACTCCCATGATAAGTGGACATCTGGCTAATAACGTCATGCCGGACCATGGATGTTGCTGGCCCAGAGAGTGCCGGACTAGAGAGGTTCCATCTGTACAAATGTTGGAGAGGCCAGAACTAGGACATATGATCCCATTGGTTGACGTGTATTGTATTGGCCAGTGAGGTGAGTCGGACGGTGGGCCCCTTACACCTGTCAACTTACTCGACTTCACTGTCTTTGTTTCCATCACTGTTCAGACCATGATCTTTGGCCTTGCGACATTTGGTCTGCAGAGGTCCCTCGGTAGGGGACCTCCCAGCACAGGGACCTCAGCTGGCAATGGTTTGTCAGGGAGGCTGGGTCCTTTGCTTGCATGACTTCCAATAAAGCAGGGTTTCCCAACCTATGGGTCGCCATTATATTTCAAAAGGGTCACCAGGTGTCTCCCCAGGTGGCTCTTAAGGAGCCATTCACACATTTTTTGAATTGCCCTGGGTCACCAAGTCTTCCTGAATTGTCAAAACGGGTCCCCATCTGGAAAAGGTTGGAACTGCTGCGATAAAGTAAGGACCAGCCTTAATCTTCTAGCCCAGTGGTTTCAACTCGTGGTCTGCGGACCCCTGGGGGTCCACAGCTTGTACGTAAGATTTCCAAAGGGGTCTGCATGTTTCACTAGAAAGGGCTGCGTATCTCATTGCAAAGCCAGCTCCCCAGCCAGACTTTCAGATCAAAGAGCATGAGCTCCAGCTAAACAGCCGGCATCTGGGAGCTTATCCAAACTGAGCTGTTTTTGAAGATTTGCCCCACAATCCTGTGGAGCTGCGGAAGAGCTTTGAGATCCTGGGGAGGGGGGAAGGAAAGGGTTAATATCCTGCCCTGCGATGGCAGCAGGCCCTCGGTAGATCAGGGGTCAGATTCACGAAGCATGAAAGGGATCTTACACCTGGCACGGGGTTACCACTGGATCACTGTGCTGCAAGCCAACAGGAATGCAGAAAGCTGTGAAATCAAGGCAGCAGCCTGGGGTGTCCCACTCGGCAAGGGGGTACAAACAGGGTCAGTCCTGGTTTTCGCCAGTACAGGCTCTGTGGGTGTCACAGTGGGGTCATTGTTCTCACGCTGGCCCCGACGTGCTCTGGCCTGTGCTAAGCAGGGGTCAGACTAGGTGTGCCTCATCGGCCCTTCCAGCTCTACAACCTCGGCATTTTCTGGGTGGGAAAAGCGGGCAGAAGGGTGCTAGGGTATAGGTGGTGAGTTATATGGGCCCTCAGGGTCCAGGCTCTAGGAACGTGGGCCCAGGTCCACTGATGTTTGGGTTTATATTTTCAGAGCCATCCCGGGGCAGCCATTCCAGGCCCCGCACTTTGGGGGCCCCAGGCTTCAGTGGAACATGGGGTCCAGGGCAACCGGGGTGGGGGGCTTGCAGTGGGCCTGGCACTGGCAGCCATGAGCAACCTGGCCCAGCCTGCTGCACTTTGCTCCGCCTGGCCTTGTGGCTCGTGGCGTCGCTGAGGGAGGGGGCAAAACTGGGAAGAGGCAGGGCAGGGCTTTGGGGTGGAGCAGGAGCAGTGACTTGGAGGAAAGGGTGAAGTGGGCATTGCGTAGGCTGGAGCCAGGTGGCTCACTCCTGCAGGATCCAGGCCCCCGGGTAGTCCCCCAGGCTGCCCTGGACTCCTGAAGTGCAGGGATCCCCAAAGCGTGGGCCCAGGGTGGTTGCCCCAGTGCATCCTATGGACATGATGACTCTACTTGGACCTGTTCTGGGCACCGTCAAAAATTATACCAAGGTGGCGCCCAGTGCTTGGGAGAGGGTTTCTGGGCATCCACGGAGAATCCCCAGGCATGGGTTTGTGTTTTCCCTTTGAGCGAATTCTAACCTGTGTCTCACGCCTCCTCCTTCCTACTGTCTCCATTTCCACAACAAACCCGTTCTGCCTCTCTTCCCTCTCTTCATCCTCCCGGCTGGGGCCTGCACATTCTTCTCCCAACCTTTCCTCGTTCTCTCTTTCTCCTTCTTCCCTTGCCTCCCTCTCCCCGCCTCCCCTTCTTCTCTTTCACTGCCAGCCCATAATTCCAGACCTGCTGATGAGCCCCAGCGACCAAGGCGATGGAGACCTGGAGATGGAGTACCCAGAAGACCGAGGGAACTGGACCGGGAAGCTGGATTTCCTTCTCTCCTGTATCGGCTACTGCGTGGGGTTGGGGAATGTGTGGAGGTTTCCGTACAGAGTTTACTCCAATGGAGGAGGTACGTGCTCCATCATCCCCTCTTCAGTCATGCCACTTCTGTACCCTTGTTGAGAGGGGTTCGTGACAGAAGGAAGCTTTGCTTATGTCCCTTTCTCCCCTCCCCTCTCAGGGTACGTCTAGACTACAGGCTTTTGTCAACAGAGGCTATGTCGACGGATACTGTCGACAAAGCTTCTGTCGACAAAGAGCGTCTAGACTACATCCAGTTCTGTTGACAAAGCAAGCCGCTTTGTTGACATGAAAGTGTAGATGCAAAGGACAGTGTGGGTGTGTCTAGACTACAGGGTTTTGTCGAAGAAAGTGGACTTTTGTCGACAAAACTATACCTGCGTCTACAGTACCGCCGAGTTCTGTCGACGTAACATCGACAGAACTCGGCAGTTTTGTTGATGGCAATAAGCCTCATTCTACGAGGCATAACGGGGAGGTCGACAAATGCCTTTGATGTTGACCGTGGAGCATCCAGACTACAGCGCTGTGCCGACAAACAGCTGATCGGCACAACGCAGCAGACATTTTAATTTAAATGAAGCGGCGATTATTTAAATTGTCGCTTCATTTCCCTTAGCCTACAACCCTAATCGATGTGGCTCCGTCGACGGAGCCATGTAGTCTAAACGTGCCCCAAGAGACCTGCCTCTGCCTGGTCTCTGTTCAGATTGGCCTGAAAAGGCAGCCTAGAATTGACCTGAGTAGATTAGTCCACTTCTGTGAGGCTTGGTATCTCCGTACGGTGTCTTACTCTGGACTGCAGATTACTTCATCTGATGATGCCCTGGAAGGATATACAGCTCATGATGCTGTAGATATATATATTTTGTTAGTCTCTAAAGTGCTGCTGGACTACTCATTGTTTTTTTAAGGTCTATGAATCCCTCTTGGTCTTTGGCACCACCTCTGCAGCCACCTTGTCTTGGTGTTGGTCCCATCCAGATCTCTGTAGAGCAAACATTTCCCCTGAATATTCATCCCACTCACGGAACGAATTGGCATTGTCTAATCCTGCCCTTTGTGCAATCACTCCCTACAAATGATCCACCCAACAGACTTCCCCAGCATGAATATGGGTGAAACCCACGATGTCACAGACTCTTCACAAGGCAATAATTAACCACCAGTGACAATTGCCAACTTGACTCCTGAAATTCAGGCTTTTGTCTGCTCACACGTGTCACCCATTGCAGGAAGGGACACATCATCCTATGGCCATCCCGCACAAATCTTCTCAGTCGGGCATTTGCAAATAGCCTGCAGATGAAGAATTACTGGTACTCCAGAGAGATATTTGCTAGTAAGTTGGAACAGTAAATAAACTGGAGACTATGACAGGCTGTTTGCAGAGAATTCAAGGACAGGAAATAAACCGTTCTTGAGGCGTTATTTGCCCAGCTCTCATTGGCCCAGATTCTAAAAGCTACGTTGAGTCAGAGCTGGGCCTGGGTGCCTCTAATAAATTCCCCAGATGCTGCAGGAAGTGGTTAAGACGAGGGATGTGAAAGGTTATCCGATTAACCAGTTACCAGGTACGGTTAACCAGTACGGTTGCTAGATGGTCTCAACAAAAATACATTACACTTGACATTACATCACAATCTACATGACGTCTTATTTAGAAAATACCAGACATTTCTATTTTCTCATTTCTATTTTCTCAATTTGTTTCCCGAACAGAAAGCTCAAACACTGGATTGTCCGGCTCAAAGCCAGACACCTGGAAACCCTATTAACGTGGGTGGGGGGCTGCTCCAGCATGGTACGGCGGGCTCAGTCAGGCCAGAGCAGCCTGATGTGGGGGGGGGGCACTTCAGCCCAACTGGAGCAGCCCCCACTCATGGCAGGGCCCACCTGGCCAAAGCAGCCCCCATCCGCAACAGGCCTGGCCTGGCTGGAGCAGACCACTGTGCTGCGGGTAGGGGGGTGCTCCAGCCCGGCTAGGGCAGCCCCCGCCTGCGGCAGAGCCAACCTGGCTGGAGTAGCCCAAACCATGGCGAGGGAGTCTGGCCCACTGCTCCACACCATGGATGGGGGGGGGGGGAGGAAGTGCTCCAGCCTGAGTTGGAGCAACCCCCCACCAGGCTCAATTTAAGTGGTTAACTGGTTACACATCTCTAGTTCAGACTCAGCTGGCGGCAGGCTTCCTGGCCAGCACAGGAACCTGATGCAAGGGGCCACTTTGCTGTTGGGGTGCCACCTTTGCAAAAGAGATGTAAAATGAAGGCCAGGCCTGCTGGCTGGACCTTTTCCCTCATGTAAAGGTGCTAGCCCTGGGGTCCTGACCATAGTCCAGCGATAATAATTCCATTCGGCCAGCTGAAATCCCCCCCAGCGTTGAAAGCTTGACCTAAGAACTGATGCTTAGCCTCGCTGGAACTGCAGTTGGCCGCAGAAGGGGCTGTATTGCAGCGGTGGGGGAGGGATCCCACAGATACAGGGTCAAATCACCGTCCAGGCATTGGCTCCGGTCACTCTGAGATGCTTCAGGGTTCCGGGAGCTTTATACCTGTATCTATCGCCTGTCCCCGCACCAGTCTCCCGTCTCACCCTCTCTGTCTTTTCTGTCTCCTCCAGGAGCTTTTCTCATCCCTTATTTCATCATGCTGGCAATATGTGGCATCCCCATCTTCTTCATGGAGCTCTCCCTAGGCCAGTTCTCCAGCCTGGGGCCCCTGGCTATCTGGAGAATAAGCCCGCTCTTCAAAGGTGTGTGACCAACCCCAGCCCCGCCCTCTCCTCCCTCCTGCCCTCCCGGCACAGAGAGAGACAGAGAGAGAGAGACACAGAGATATATATATATATGGGTGGGTGGGTGGGGATAGATAGATAGATATGGGTATGGATATGCCCCTCTCCTATTCCATGTATTCAAACGAGGCCCTACAAATAATCACACCGGCCCTGTGCAATCCCCCGTCCCCCCTGCATAGCGGGTGATAATTCCTTCATGTGGCTCAGCTTTGACAGCTCCTGGCTGTGGTTTAGGGTTCATTTTCGATTCCTAACAGCTGGTCTGTTGGTACCAAGGCCTGGGCCCCCTTGGTATGCCCCTCTCCTATTCCATGTATTCAAACGAGGCCCTACAAATAATCACACCGGCCCTGTGCAATCCCCCGTCCCCCCTGCATAGCGGGTGATAATTCCTTCATGTGGCTCAGCTTTGACAGCTCCTGGCTGTGGTTTAGGGTTCATTTTCGATTCCTAACAGCTGGTCTGTTGGTACCAAGGCCTGGGCCCCCTTGGATGCCAGTGGGGAGGGCGAGTGGGTGTTGTATCTCTGCCGTGGCCCTGAGCTGTGTTTACGTCTCCCCTCCCATAGGTGTCGGCATGGGCACGATCCTGATTGTCTCGCTGGTGGCCATTTACTATAACATGATCATTGCGTATGTTCTCTTCTACCTCTTCGCGTCCCTGACAAGCAACTTGCCCTGGCAGCACTGCGGCAACTGGTGGAACACCGAGCTGTGCCTGGACCACCACGTCATCAAGGCAGCGAATGCTGCCACCCCCTTCAATCTCACGAACACGGTCAGCCCTAGTGAGGAGTACTGGAGGTAAGGAGGCTAGCAAGCGAGGGGGACAGAGCGGGGCGGGGATCGGAGTGAGGGAAACTGAGGCAGGCGCCATGGCGACGGGTTGACAACACACACACTGTGGCATGGGGCACACTCACACTCTCTAAGTGCATGAGGAGCTGGGGGCTGTTGTCGCAGCCTGGCCTGCGGCACCGCACTGGGGTGGATACGCAATACCCCAGCTGAGCTGCTGGGATCACGCGCCTGCTCGGGGCTGGCTCTGCTGACGGACAGTTTGCTGTTTACTCACAGATACAGAACGCTGGCGCTCGGGAGCTAGGGGTGTGTGGTGATGGCCGGAGGGGCCTGGGTCTGAGCCGGGCTGCGTGCACTTGTACTATGTGACGTGTGCCTGTTTGATTCAGCAGAACCCGGTGCCACCAACAGCCTGGGTGTGTTGCTGGCTGTTCTAACAGGCGGCTGCACAGTCTTGGGAGTTTAGTCACTCGCAGAGACTGATGCTTCACTGGCTGTCTCATGGGATGCAGGGCTGTGGTTAGTGGATGACCGTTAGTGATGGTTCCATGGACTGTTTTCAAAGCAGTCCTTCTCTTTACGGGGTGGGAGAAGTGGGTCTCTCTGACTCTTCAAGGCTGGAATCTGAACAGCTTTTGTGGCTGTACAAACCCCGTGAGCCTCATTTTGCATTGGGCTAAGCACAGGGTGCTTGGCAGCAGGTGAGGGTCCAAACACTTGGGTGACCAGGCCATAGAAAATTCATCCCCTGACCCGTTAGGTGCCCATTGTGGCAGAGGCAAGTCTGGGAGTCATGTTCTCAGTTGCTAGGTCACGAACATCTGTGCTCTCCGGCCATGATGGAGTCTCCCATGGAAGAAGCACGTGACTCAGCAGTCGGGTTAATGTACATGGCCTTGGGACACTGGAACTGTAGCCTATTGAAAATAGCTCTTTTGCATCGTTTGAGACAATTCACCTAAAATCCAGCCTTTCTCTGAGGACCTTTCGGTTCCTTAAGGAGTGGTCAGGAATTCACTTAAAGGCCCCCCAAATCAGAGTCACATCCCTGGCTGCCCTTATATGCAAAGGGATTTTCAGGCTCACTTTTATTGGCACAGTCCCCATTAGCTTCAGGTTCTGTGCTGCTGCTGCTGCGTAAAGTCTGGGATCGCAACAAGGAGAGTGGTCCCAGATATCTTACCGAAGGGAGGGCCCTGCCTGTTTATTAATGGGTCTCCTTTTGCCCTAGTCGTTATGTTCTGCATATCCAAGGGAGCTCTGGGATCGGGGATCCTGGGAGAATCCGCTGGAATCTGTGCCTATGCCTGTTGCTGTCCTGGGTCATTGTGTATCTCTGTATCCTCAAGGGAGTCAAGTCCTCCGGCAAGGTAAGACCACGAGTCCTTCTCCTGCAGCCCGTCGGCTTTTGCTGCACAAGAATGAACTTGATGGGGTTAAGCATTCAATTGCAGGGATCTACAGTACTGGTGTGTGCGTGGGTGAACATATGTCTCTCTTGAAAATACCAATTAGGGGAATTAGCTCTCTTGCTAACTGCAATGGCTATCAATAGGCACAGTTTGGAGAGGGTGGCAATTTGCACATCATCAAATGCCGCCCAGGATTCAGGGCTGGAACGTGTTTAATGCCACATCTCAGATGAAAGCAGCATGGACTTGGGCCACAGTCAATTGCATGGATCTATCACAGAATTCAAAATCAGCTGGACAAACTGGAGAAATGGGCTGAGATAAACAGGACGACGTTTAATAAAGACAAATGCAAAGTGCTCCACTTAGGAAGGAACAATCAGTTTCACACACACAGAATGGAAGTGACTGTCTAGGAAGGATACGGCAGAAAGGGATCTAGGGGTCATAGTGGACCACAAGCTAAATATGAGTCATGATTCTGGGATGCATGAACAGGAGTGTTGTGAGCAAGACACGAGAAGTCATTCTTCTGCTCTACCCTGGGCTGATTAAGCCTCAGTTGGAGTATTGTGTCCAGTTCTGGGCACCACATTTCAAGAAAGGTGTGGAGAAATTGGAGAGGGTCCAGAGAAGAGCAACAAGAATGATTAAAGGTCTAGAAAACAGGAGCTATGAGGGAAGACTGAAAGAATTGGGCTTGCTTACTTTAGAAAAGAGAAGACTGAGAGGGGACAGAATAGCAGTTTTCAAGTATCTAAAAGGGTGTTACAAGAAGGAAGGAGAAAAATTGTTCTTCTTGGCCTCTGATGACAAGACAAGAAGCAAGGGGCTTAAATTGCAGCAAGGGAGGTTTAGGTTGGACATCAGGAAAAACTTCCCAACTGTCAGAGTGGTTAAACACTGGAATACATTGCCTAGGGAGGTTGTGGGATTTCCAACTCTGGAGATATTGAAGAGCAGATTAGACAGACACCTGTGTGGGATGATCTAGAAGGTGTTTAGTCCTGCCGTGAGGGCAGGAGACTGGACTCAATGACCTCTCAAGGTCCCTTCCAGTTTTTGTGTTCTATGATTCTACGCTTACAGTGGCCTGTCCAAGGTTGTGTTGCCCAGCTCGTAAGCTCACACAGCAGCAAGGGGCAAGATAAAGCAGACTTTTAGCTGCACAGAGACGCTCCCTGCAGGGCACCTTCTTCAGCATGGGCTTGTGCTGCTGGCCATCAGGTGAAGCTCCCTGTGTATTGGGTCAATGCAATAAGAACAGGTCTTCAACTCAGCTCCATCTGCTCTTCCTGCAGGTTGTGTATTTCACTGCCACTTTCCCGTACTTCATCCTGATCATGCTGCTCATCCGGGGCGTGACGCTGGAGGGGGCCTGGAAAGGAATCGAGTTCTACCTCACCCCCCAGTTTGATCACTTGCTGTCTTCCAAGGTAAGGGGATGGGGACGGGGACGGGGCACTTCCCCTACATAGCGAGGTTCCGTTACCGCATCAGTCTGGGATCCCGGCTTTTGACAGCTGCTTTCCAGTGATGCCAACACGCAAAGCAGGGGAATCCCCCCAATCTGACGCGTGCAGAAAAGAAAAGCTGCCATTGTATAAGGACGTTTAATGTCACAGTAGGTCAAGCTGATTATTAGTGGCTCTAATTAACACTCTGGGTAGCTGATTGGCCTGCCAAAAAGATGTAATATCATTTCCTGTCTTTCATCGTAGGGGGAAACGCCCACTTATGGAATTCTTTGCAGCCAGATCCTTGCCGCCAGACCCTCACCGGGGCACAATTAGACTGGGGAAGAGGCATGCAAGATATAACTTTGGCTGCCCTTCCCCTCTCACTGCTCACCTCTTGAGCATTACTGCTTAGCTAACGTTAATTATTTTACCCCATCATCTCAGTGTATTAAAGAGCGATTGAATACGTTTGCGTAGTTTTAATTGTGCCTAGTAATTTGCAGAAGTGGAAATTTTTTACGGGTACTATCGTATCGCATCCCCCTGGGGGGTTGCTAAAGGCATAGGGGTTGGGACCCCCCCAGCAAGTCCCTTTCACCTGCTTGGCTGCCCACTGCTTAGCAAGGCAGCCAGGGAGCTGGCCGCGAGCAGCTACAGCTGAGTGCCCCGGCCGGCCAGCTCCTCTGGATTTGGGCCCCCTGTGGCCAGTGCAGAAACACGTGGGCTGATTCCCTTCTGCCTCCTTGGGGTGATGGCCCATTGCTGGGGCCATCTAATGTAACCAATATGCAAGTAGGCTGACTTCCCTCTTCCACGTGGGCACCCCCAGATCCGATAGGCTCTCCAGTTCAGAGCAAGTGGAGAAGTCCAAGCATGGACTCCAAACACCTTCCGAGGCTGGTTGCACCAGGCCAGGGCAGGAGGCCACTGCGGTATTTTGTAGTTCTCGGGGAAGGAAGCCCAGCAGTGAAGGGCACTGGAAGCTGCCTCACTTTACCTAAATGACCAGCACTTTCCGGAGGGGAGCGGAGATTTGCCCTCCTTTCAGTGCAGTGAATTCTTCTTGCTTGTTCCCTCTTCCCAGGTGTGGATAGAGGCGGCTCTGCAGATCTTCTACTCCCTCGGGGTGGGCTTCGGGGGCCTGCTCACCTTCGCGTCGTATAACACCTTCCACCAGAATATTTACAGGTGGGTTTCCAGCCTTCACATGGGAAATGGAGGTGAGCCTCAGGGTGGCCCTCACAGAGGGGTTCAAGCTGAGCCAGGTCCTTCGCGTTAGACACAGCCCCTCTTCCCAGAACGGAAGCTGCATATCATGGTGTAGAGCAGTGTTTCTTAAACTTTTTAAGACCAAGCAACACCAAACAATATTTTTTTTATGGGGGACACCAAGGATTTTTTGTTGAGAGAAAAAAAAAAGGAGACTTGCCCCTTTAAGGGCGGCCATTCCCAAGGGAAAAGTTGTTGACCAAAAAAAAAAGCCCTCAGTGAAAAGTTGTTGAGCAAAACAAACAAACCAAAACCTGAACAGTTTGCCCTTTTATCAGGAGAGGGCAGCCATTTTGAACTCTGTTCTCTGCGGCACACCTCCAATTGCCTCATGGCAGTGTTGTCTTCAAGTTGTCATTGTCAAGTCCAAGTCAAGTCTCAAGTCACTACAGTCCAAGTCTCAAGTCGAGTCTCGAGTCCCTAAAGTCACTTTCAAGTCAAGTGTCAAGTCGAGTCTCAAGTCTTAATTTAAAAAATGTCAAGTCGCTTTGGTACAAGCCATCAATATCGGCATTTTTGGACAATTTTTTCACCAAGTCGATTTAACAAAATTAGCAAGTCTCAAGTCACAAACAATGAACCCGAGTCGAGTCTCAAGTCGAGTCACCTAGGTGACTTAAGTTGGACTCGAGTTCAAGTTGTGGGACTTGAGTCAGCAACTCTGCCTCACGGCACACAAGAACGCACTTTAAGAAACGCTGGTGTAGAGTGGCAGATACAAGAAAGAAGCAGGTGAGAACCACAGGGAAGACAGGGATGCATGGAGCCCAGTGGCAGCCTGTGAGGAGAGGTGCCCACGTCTGCATAACCATGCAGGAGAAGCAAAAGCCAGGCACTGAGGGCTGCTGTCTCCCGCCGGATTCCTGCCCCCAGCAGGCGCTGAGGAGCTGAGAGGGGTGTTTCACAGCCGAGCTGGGCTGAGAACAAGCATGAGAGCCCCCAGCATTGGTGTTCCCTGATGTTAGTAATAAAACCCCAAAGCAGCCTGGGAAGGCGCCCAGTGATGGTTCCACTTTTCTGGCTTCTCTGTGAGTCCACCTCTCCATCGGCTCCTCAATGCTGAGCTTGCCAAAGAGAACAGAGAACGCCCTCTCTCTGTCCAACTAGGGCACCCATCTCAGCTTGGCGCCGGGGTCAGCTTGTGCCCCCAAAGTGGGTCTTTTCTTGGTGCCTGCAGCAGTCAGCATCTGCCTCCTCTCGCTTCTCTGGACCCCCTGTGACCTCTCAGCAGCGCAGTCTCTTCAGGCTGTGGCAGGGACACGTTCAGATCAGCTGCTGTCTGTTCTGCAGGGACACGTTTATAGTCACCCTGGGCAACGCCATCACCAGCATCCTGGCCGGATTTGCCATCTTCTCCGTCTTGGGCTACATGTCAGAGGAACTGGGCGTCCCTGTTAACCAAGTGGCAAAAGCAGGTCAGATAAATAAAAATACCTTCCTTCTTTTTCCTGTGGGGGGGGGGCAGGTATGTGCTGTTTGGGGTATGTATGTAGTTCTTTATAAGACTCAGGTATAATAGTTTAAAACAATAATGGCTTTGCACTTGTAAAGACTGTTCACTGGACGATCGCAACACACGACAAGGTGTGTGAGTGTGTGTGGGGGGTGGTTATTGGCCGGTGGTGGGTGGGAAAACAGACACAAAGGGCCACATAGCAAGCCTGGGGCTGAGCAGGCATTAGCGCAGGAGTTCAGAATTTGGGAGTACAGTTTAACTAGCCAATTGATGGAGCCTGAAATCGGCCTTTAACAGGGGCCATTTCCATGGCATTTTTGCCCACACTGTCTCCACCAGTGCAGCCGGCTCTGGGCCCGGAGCCTTTCCCAGGGAGCTATCCCTCCATCCCTGACATGAGTCTAAGCTGCTGCTGTGTCAGGACTGTAACAGGGGGGTCTAGGTGGAGAAAGCAGCCCGAGCCAGCTCAGGCATCCCCAGGGAGGAATCTAAGCTCAGGTGGAACCTATTTCTCCAGGGACACCGGCAGGCCCCCATGAGCCAGCACTGAGGCAAACCCATAGCAGGTGTCACTGAAAGCAAGGCCTGGCAAGAGGCAGAGAGCTGGGGGTCGGATGCCACGCAGGAGAGATGGCTTGGGAGCCCCTGGGACGCTCCGTGCCCAGTGCAATGGGCACCAAGCACTGCCAGGTCATGGGTGAAGGAGGGGTTGGTGTTCCTTACAGGGGGGAGGCACTGAGCCGCACACACAGTGCCTGAGCATGTGGGCACTAGACAGCCCCCCTACCCCAAAACCAGGCCAGAGCACTGAAGCAATAACCAGCCTGAAGAGCCAGCTTCTCGCTCCCGCTCTACGAAGCCGCTGGCTGATGGCAGGCCCGGGGGGAAGCCCCGTATGAGAGACGTCAGCCACCCAAGCACAGCGGTGCAGGAGCTCCTGTGGCAAGCCCCAGAGGAGCGGCCCTGCGTGACATCCCCTGTCGCTCAGTGCTGAGCCCCCTCTCGCCCCCCCCCCCCGGGGCTCCTGTACGTGCTGCAGCCGTACCAGGCTGCATCCGGGGTGGCAGCGGGGTGGTGGGGAGCGGCGCCAGACAGACACCAGGCTGAATAAAGCCACACAGCTCCACGGGCTGGCACTGCCTGTTGCATCAGTGCAGCGGGAGGCAGAGGAGTAGGTTTGGGGGGAGCGGAGCATTCAGCACTCGGACAGGGCCTTGGTGGGTGGATAACGAAGGAGGCCGGGCAGAGGGCCCCACTCTAGTGGCTTTTGCTTCCCCTCTCAATGGCCGTTTCCACGCCGGCTCCTCCCCAGCCGTCGGGGGCTTACGTTCTTACAGTGAGTGGGGAGAACTGAGGTGCGGGGGGCCTGCTACTGCCATTCCTCCAGCTGGGGAGGCTGGGACGGAGCAGCTAGGAGCCACCAGCAGGGCTTCCCATAGAGCAGGGGTGGGGAACCTCAGGCCGGGGGGAGGGGTCGATGTGCTCGTTGCGGGGGCCAAGGGCTCGCCGTGCCCATCGTGCCATGCGCAACATTCTTGTTTCTCTAAAAAGCTTTGAAGTCTGGACGCGCTACTGCCATTCCTCCAGCTGGGGAGGCTGGGACGGAGCAGCTAGGAGCCACCAGCAGGGCTTCCCATAGAGCAGGGGTGGGGAACCTCAGGCCGGGGGGAGGGGTCGATGTGCTCGTTGCGGGGGCCAAGGGCTCGCCGTGCCCATCGTGCCATGCGCAACATTCTTGTTTCTCTAAAAAGCTTTGAAGTCTGGACGCCTGCCCCCTCCCACTGTGCCAGCCCCACCTTGCTTCGGCTAGATCCCACGCCTAAGAACACCTCTTGTAAGACACCTCTCCCCCACCTGCCGGGGTACCCGTGCCCCGCTCCCTCAGCCTGCTGTCGGACGTGGATGCTGTACAGTCCCATTCACCGGCTCATTCTCGGCCTGTCCCCTAGGTCCCGGCTTGGCTTTCGTCGTGTACCCCCAGGCCATGACGATGCTGCCTCTTTCTCCCTTCTGGTCTTTCCTTTTCTTCTTCATGCTGCTGACCCTGGGCCTGGACAGCCAGGTAAGGACACAGCGTGCGAGTCCCAGGAATATTACCTCTCCCCAGCACACCGCCCCCGGCTTAAAGCAGCCTGTTTCCCTCACGTGCAGTTCGCCTTCCTGGAGACCATCGTTACTGCAGTGACAGACGAGTTTCCTTATTACCTGCGGCCCAAGAAGGCGTTTTTCTCAGCCATCATCTGTATCGCCATGTACCTGATGGGGCTCATTCTCACGACAGAGGTAGGCGATCCGTCCCACCGGCCGGCGTGGCCGAGTCAGCTTCGACTGGATTTGAAGGGCTCACTTAGAGGAGTATTTACAGGGGGATGTTTGTCAGGTCCACCACCGAATATGACCAACGCAGGAGGAGGGGGCTTGGGAAGAAAAATGGATGGAGGGTCTGTCTCACCGAATATGGCCAACGGAGCAGAGAGGCTAATAACAGAGCCGTGACTCAGTCTCAGGGAATAATTTATTCAGCCAGCAGAGCCAGGGAATTATCAATTCAGCGTGAATTTTCCACACTTGAGATTCAAAATCTCAGCTGCGTTTGGCCTGATACGTGACAGGACGTTACTTCTGTCCTGACTGGACAAGCACGCAGACAGGGTAGATGCACTGGCAGGTGACTTGCGCATTAGCTGCCCCATAATTGTCAGGTGGCTGAAACTCAGCCTCCCATATGTAACCAGGAAAGGACCCCAAGAGAAGACGTCCCAAAAGGTGAGGGAATAATGGGTCCTTCCCTGAGTCTGGCTGCTTGTCCTCTCTCTCCAGGGAGGGATGTACTGGCTAGTCCTGCTGGATGACTACAGTGCTGGGTTTGGACTCATGGTAGTGGTGATTACAACCTGCCTGGTGGTGACACGTGTCTATGGTAAGGGAAACAGGCCTCCATGGATTCTCCGGAGCAGGGAACATGGTGAAATACCTAGAGGTTCATGCAAAAGCTTGTGGGGCAACAAGGCCATGGGAGTCAGAGCCTGGGAGGAGAAACTAGTAGATTCAGTGGGTGTCTGCTGGAGCGGGTGTAATGTCTAGTGTGTGCAGATGAACGCCATGTCCGAGGGCTAGACCCCTCAGCTAGACCCCTCAGCTCTTGTTGCTTCCCTGGTGTTATCCAGATCAAGCCAGAGACGTTTGGGTCAGCGAGCCAGCTAAGTGAACCCCCTTTCTTATTCTCTCAGCTCCGAGCAGAGAAACTCTCTGTGAGGCAGGAGAAACGATACCCCCTTGGTGCTGCTGGCTCTCTGGCCCCATGGCAGACACAGCCCAGTCCCTGAGCTGTCCCGGGATGGGGGCTCCGTGGAGCCCAGGGGATTGCAAGGAGGGACTGGGTGATTTCTGATGCCATCTCCTCCTATCTCTAGGCATAAAGAGGTTCTGCCGGGATATTCACATGATGCTGGGCTTCAAACCCGGGCTGTACTTCAAAGCCTGCTGGATGTGCCTGTCGCCGGCAATGATGCTGGTAACTGAGCTTCCCTTACTCTGCCCACGCCCCGTTGTCATGGTCACCACACCATTTGGATGAGTCCCTTTGGGGCAAAACATTTCCCAGAATCCCTGGATCTCCTTCTCAGCCGGCAGAATGGAGTGGTCCTTACACGCTAGTATCCGCACGGGCCTCTAATCTGCGTTGTCTTGGTGGGGGCTGTGCAGCCCCTTCCCATCCCACCCTGAGGAGCCCAGGTACCTGGGGAGGGGTCACTAAGTTTTAAGGCCTGGGGAGGGGTCACTACATTCTAAGGCGCAGGGAGGGGTCACTATGTTCTAAGGCCCGGGGAGGGGTCACTACGTTCTAAGGCCCGGGGAGGGTCTCTACGTTCTAAGGCCCGGGAGGGGTCACTACGTTCTAAGGCCCAGGAGGGGTCACTATGTTCTGAGGCTGGGTCTGAGTGTGAAATCCTCAGCAGATTTTGGATGCCAGCCTGTGATGATCCTCAGGGTAGCTAGGTCTGGGAATCACCTTGTTTCCCTCCTGCTGCCAGCATGAGAGTCTTGCTTGTGATTAAGTGGGTGTCGAAGACACGCTGGTAGTGAAAAGAGCAGCGTGTTTATTACCCCAGGCCGAAGGAAGAGCTCCACGGAGCTTGCTGCTCTCACCAGCCGAAGCTGGTCCAGTAAAAGCTACTGCCTCCCCCAGCGTGCCTCGCCAACACAGACAGGTACAGGCGACGAGTGTGTCGGCAGCGAGAGCAGCCAGCTCCTTGCACAGCGCGGAACTGACAGATCACAAGTGACCCATGTGACCCCGGCTTTCATTTGAGAGTTCACGTGATGCTGGTTGGTGAACCAGATTGTGCGTCCCAGAGACAGGCCTTTCCTGTCACCCGCTGGCCAGCTCGCACTGCGGGGCCGGGGCTCACACAGCCCCAGCAAGGACTTTCTCCCTGTGTTGCAGACCCTGCTCGTGTACAATATAGTCAAGTACCAGCCCTCGGAGTATGGGAGTTACCGCTTCCCGTACTGGGCCGAGGTCCTGGGCATCCTGATGGGGCTGTTCTCCTGCCTGATGATCCCCGCAGGGATGGTGGTTGCAGTGCTCCGAGAAGAAGGGACACTGTGGGAGGTAAGGGGCAGGCAGGGATCCAGGCGGGGATCCTGTACGAAGGGTCGGGACTCGACCTCTCCAGGGCGTCTCTTCCCCTGGCAGCGTTCCCCAGCTCTCCCCCCCGGTCGGCGTTTCTCTGTGTCATCGTCTTGCTCTCTGGGTCCCGCTGGGTAAAAGACAACCCTTCCGACTCGCTTGGGAGTCTTCTAGCCATCGGCTCTGGGGGCTGATCCCGGGTTTGACAGCTGAGAATGGGGCCTCCTTTCGTATTGGGCTATCACACGCTGGCGGAAGGGGAGCGGGGGAGGGCAGTTGCCTTGGTGCCTGGCAATTTATAAGGTGTTGGGAGCCAACAATGCTCCTACGGCTGCGGCTGGAGCTCTGGGCCCTTTAAATCGCCGCCGGAGCCCCGGGTGGTGTGCTCCCGGAGGTGCTGAAGGGCCAGCTGGGGGAAGCTATTCCCCGTCCTCCCGCTGCACCCCAAGACCCCACTCCTTCCAGGAGCCACCCCCCACCCCAGGGGCCTGACACAGCTACTCTGACCATGCAGCCTGCCCATCCGGCGCCTTCTCACTGCAGCGTGTCTAGGGGAACTTCCCTCCGGACTCACTGCGGTTTTGGTCTGATAGCTCCCTCCCTCTCCCAGCTCTGCCCAGCCTTAGGGAGAATGTCAGGAGTCCCGGCAGGCCTGTGTTGTTCAACCAGCACAGAGTGGATTTAACGCAGCTGCCCCAGCCCGGGCCAAGGCCTCACCTGGGTAGCCACCGGTTCTCCTCCCAGTCAGTGACTCCCAAGAGCTGGTGAACAGGACAGCACCAGTCTTTACACTGGTGTGGGGCCCCCTCTTGTGGTCTTCCCGGGAGAAGTCCTGGTTATTCCAGCTGCAGAACTGGCATGCTCATCCCGAGAGGAAACAGGCCCTGCCTCATTTCTCTGCCAGGCCCTAGGGCGACAGACTGGGACATCCCTAAGCGTGGCTCTCCCCGGGAGAGGGCCTGGGCACCGGTTCCGGGCTGGGAGGGGGTCCGGAGGCAGCGTGCTGGGGAGGGGGTTTTCCCGTGGCATGCTGCACAGCCGCGCTGGGCGTGCTTGCGTCTCCAGCTGGGGCGTTCGCATTGCGAGCTGCACGACGAAACCAGTGAGACTCCCTGGATCTGCCTCGGGAAACCGCAGTTCCGACAACAGAGGCTAGAGCCCACCCGGAGGAACAGATTCCCATACGTGGCTCGCCCAGGCCTGCTGGCCCTGAGTCACAGAAACGTAGGCCTGGAAGCAGGGGCGACATGTGGGGGAGGGGGCAGGAAGGGTTGTGCCCCTCCCCCCACCGTGGTGAGGCGGGGCAAGAGACCCACAGCTGGCAGGGCCAGAGCCTCTCCTCTTCCAGCCATGCTGCCCGGCTGCGGCACTCTCCCAAGCAGCCCCCAGCCATGCAGCAGCAAGAGAGGGATGGAGCCCCTCTCCCCCACCAGGTAATGGGGGGAGGAGAGGGGGCGGCACAGCAGCACTCTCCCAAGTCCCAGGCCGTCTCTGGCCATGCTGGTTGGGGTGCTGCTTGGTCCCCGGTGCAGAGCAGTGGGACAGACACTCCCCCACCCCAGGTAACGGGGTGAGCGTGGGGGTCCCGTGGGGAGGTCCCGTGGCCAGTGCCCCCTTTGTGTCCCTCCCACTAGTTGCCTATGACGGGAAGGGACCGCCAGAGATCAAATCTGCTTCCCTGGCATGAGGCAGGAACGAGAAAACCAGGCGCATCCTTGAGAAGTGTTTGCCCAGCCCATTCGTAGAGCTCTCCCATGGGGGCAGGCCTACAGCCTCCCCCGGAACGTGTCCCAGCACTTCACTGTCCTCCTCATTACACCGTTTTCCCGACTATCCAGGGGTGCTGGGCCTCTTTGTACAGCGAGGGCACTGAGAGTCATTGAACCAAACTGCAATGGGGGCAAAGGGGGTAATTGCCCCGGGGCCAAGAGGGTAATTGCCCCGGGGCCTGGTGATTTAGTGAAGGCAACCAAAGCCCCAGACTCTTTAAATCGCCGCCAGAGCATGCTCTGGGCTGTTGTGAGGGCACTTGAGGGCTGGTCGGCCCAGCCCCGCCCCTTCCCCATGAGGCTCCGCCTCTCCCAGGAGTGCAGAACTGCCCCCCCCCCCGCCTTACCCAGGGGCCTAGCGAGGCTGTTGGCCCTGCTGCCTACACTGATCTCTAACCTAAATCTCCCTGCTGCAAATGAAGCTGATGACTTATGGCCCTGCCATTGGTGGACAAAAACAATTGATCACCGCCCCCTCTAGAACCACTGTTTGTTTATTTGAAGGCTGTTACGGAGCCCTTCAGCCTTCTCTTCTCCAGACTAAATACGCTCGGCTCTTTCAACCTTTCCTCCTAAAGCAGAATTTTCTGCACAGTTGGTTCGTGTTGCTCTCCTCTGGACTCTCCAGTCTGCCCACGTCTTTCTTCAAGCCCAGCTCCCAAAATGCGTGAATCCAGCTGAGGCTTTGCCCGTGCCAAGCAGGCTGGGACAGTTACCTCCTCCCCTGGCTGACATATAAGACCCCTGTTACACCTCCCTGAGGGACTTTTGACACTGCAGCATCCCACTGTTAACAGGATCGTCTGGTGACCCTCTGTCCCTCCCAGATCCTTTTCAGCAGTAGAGCTGCCTAGCCAGCAAGTCCCCATTTTGGAGTTGTGCTTTTCCCTTCCACAGGGCAGCGCTTCACCCTCGTCTCCACCGTCCTACATGATGCACAACGAAGAGGGAAGGGACAGAAATAATAAGTGCCTGTAGCACTGTAACATGCGAGGCTCCTTCACAACCATTAATGCTGGGTCTTAATAGGTCTGTGCTTAAGACTCCCCACCTACTGCCTCAAAAGCCACCTCTATGAGCCCAGGGCACCTCTGAGCAACAACTGAGCACATGGGCCTACAAAGGGCCCTGGCTGCGTTTGGCGTGGCCTCGGGTTTTGGACAGCAGCTAGGGACGGGGGTATGTGGAGTGCGGCAGACCAGCTTCTGGCTGATGCTCTGAAGTTTCGGCTAGCCCCGTGCGGCTCTGTTCACACTGGCAGGTCCTTGTGCAAGAACTCTTGCACTAGAACATGTCCACACTGCCATGTACTTTTGCGTAAGAGCATCCATGGCAGTGTGGATGCTCTCTTGAGCAAGAAAGCTCAGCTGGCCATTTTAGCCATAGGGCTTTCTTGCTCCAGAAACCCCTGCCTCCCATTCACATTGCCTTCTTGCGCAAGAGAGCTTACACTGGTGCGAAAAGAGCATAGCTCTTGCACAAGAAGCCCTCTCTTCCCACGCTTTATTGTAAATCTTGTTGCGCAAGAGCGGCAGGCAGTGTGAATGCTCTGCAGAAGAACGGCAGCTCTTGCTCAAGAACTCGCCAGTGTAGACAGAGCTGGCATGTTTAGCAGCATCTTCTCTCCCTGCTGCTGTAGAAAAACACCCCTAAACCTTAGCAACAGCCTTTCCCACTCCCATGTTAACATACCCCAGAAGCCTAGATCCCTCCTGCCTGGCCCAGAAGCAGAGATGGGTGGCTTCCAGCCACCACCCCCTAGGAGGTAGGAGGAGAACTCTAGTTCGCTTGTGCCCTAGACCAGGGGGAACCCTAGCCAAGTTCCCAGAGACTCCGCTGCAACGAGACAGATCCCAGCTCTCCCAAGGCAGCATGACCAAGCTGACTCCCAAGACAGCGACAGGCGCGTGTCCTTGGGAAAGCTGATTCTTTCAGGTTTTTTTTCTTTTTCTAATTCCCTGACAGAAGGAAACACACAGCTGAGAAAGCTCAAGAGGCAAAGCTGCACCCAGATCCAGGTGTCTCTGCAGCTTTGGCAGCCGGGGAGGGATAAAGCTGGGTTCTTGCTTTGGTCCAGTCTCGCATATAGAGTGATAAAATAGCTTCCTGCACAGCAAAGCCACAGCCCCTAGGACCCACCATAACACAGGCAGCCACTTAATTCAAGACACCCTGCCCCATCCCCATAGACCAATAGGTTACTAGCACACTGCAGGGGGGGTTTATACTGAGCTTCCTTCCCATCATGCCTTGGGACAGGGCTACCCCCCCACCTCTCCAGTCTTTAATGGAAGGGTGAGTCAGCCAATCCCTGCCCTCTGTGCCTGAGTGTTCCACCCCCCCTTCCTCCCCCGCCCCTCTTCTCTTATGCAAGCAGATGCTTCTGCTGGTTGCTGGCAGCTGCTGATTGCTCATTAAGGCAGTGGCTTAATCAACTCTGGTGGGGGAAGCTGGAGATTTTCCCAGCACCAAGGGAAGCTGCTTCACAGGGGAAGCCCCTCCCCACCTTTCACTCTACCCCACCCAGTGTCCCTGCTCTCAAAGCCCTTCACCCTGCTGGTTAGCCTGCAGGTGTGTCAGGCCATGGCCTGATGGACAGAGCACAGCAGCTCAAGAGCTGCCTCCCTTGAGGCCAAGGGGGAAGTGGAGGCTGTGGTATATCTAGACTTAGTGAGGTATTGAATACAGGCTCATGTGACCCCATTAGCAAACTAGGGAAACATAACCTAGATGGAACTACTATAAGGTGGGGCTGTGTCTAGACTGGCCAGTTCTTCCGGAAAATCAGCCGCTTTTCCGGAAAAACTTGCCAGCTGTCTACACTGGCCGCTTGAATTTCCGCAAAAGCACTGACTTCCTACTGTCTGAAATCAGTGCTTCTTGTGGAAATACTATGCTGCTCTCATTCAGGCAAAAGTCCTTTTGCTCAAAAGTTTTGCGCAAAAGGGCCAGTGTAGACAGCTCAGATTTGTTTTCCGCAAAAAAGCCCCAATCGCGAAAACAGCAATCGGGGGGGTTTTTTTTGGAAAAGCACATCTAGATTGGCACGGATGCTTTTCCGCAAAAAGTGCTTTTGTGGAAAAGAGTCCGTGCCAATCTAGACACTCTTTTCCGAAAATGCTTTTAACGGAAAAGTTTTCCATTAAAAGCATTTCTGGAAAATCATGCCAGTCTAGACATAGCCTTTGGGTGTATAACTGCTTGGATAGCTATTCCTGGAGAGTAGTTATCAATGGCTCTCAGTGCAGTTGGAAGGGCATAACAAGCGGGGTTCTGCAGAGATCAATTCTGGGACCAGTTCTGTTCAATATCTTCATCAACGATTTAGATACTGGCATAGAGAGCACGCTTGTAGAATATGCAGGTGATACCAAGCTGGGAGGGGTTGCAAGTGCTTTGGAGAATAGGATTGTCATTCACAATGATCTGGAGAAATGTCTGAGCTAAATAGGATGAAGTTCAATAAGGACAAATGTAAAGGACTCCACTTAGGAAGGAACAATCAGTTGCGCGCATACACGCTGGGAAATGAGTGCCGGGAAGGAGTACTGCAGAAAGGGATCTGGGGAGGTCAGAGTGAGCCACAAGCTAAATATGAGTCAACAGGATGACACTGTTGCAAAAATAACAAAAAACCCAAACATCATTCTGGTATGTGTTAACAGGAGTCTTGTAAACGAGACACACCAAGTCATTCTTCCGCTCTGCTCTGTGCTGATTAGGCCTCATGTGGAGTATTATGTCCAGTTTTGGGTGCCACACTGCAGGAAAGATGGGGACAAACTGGAAAAAGTCCAGAGAAGTGCAACAAAAAGGATGAAAGGTCTAGAAAACATGACCTGTGAGGGAAGGTTGAAATAAGTGTGTTTGTTGAGCCTGGAAAAGAGGGGGGGTCATTATAACAATTTTCAAGTATCTAAAAGGTTTTTATAAGAAGGAGGGAGGAAAAAATGTTCTCCTTAAACTCTGATGCGAGGACAAGAAGCAATGGGCTTAAAGGGGCTCATGTACCCCGTGGCCCCAGGTAGCAGGTGTAACACGACTGTTCATCTCCCGATCCCAACCACAGAGAATCCAGCAAGCCAGCCGGCCAACCATGGACTGGGGCCCTTCTCTGGAGGAGAACAGAACCGGCATGTATGTGGCTACCTTGGCTGGCAGCCAGTCCCCCAAGCCCTTGATGGTCCATATGAGGAAATACGGGGGAATTACCAGCTTCGAGAACACGGCCATCGAGGTGGACCGGGAGATTGAGGAAGAAGAGGAGTCCATGATGTGAGGAGGCCACGAGCCCTGTGTGGAGCAGAGAATGGGGGACTGTGCTGCACCCCTGAACTTCCATGGTTGCACTTAGGCACTTCGGGCTGGTGAACCGGCCTCTCTAGAGGCAGCTGCGAGCTGCTGACCTTCCATAGTCCCACGGGACGTCCCAGCCTCTCCAGGAGAACGTTGCTGAGAATACCAGTGTTGCTGAGTTTTCCATTTAGTGTGGCAAGCTGTGTAATGACTCTGTGTTAGCACCCCAGTGTCTGGGACCAGGTACCTGGACCCTACCCTCACCAGGCCTCCCCTTCTCCCCCAGCCTGGGTGGTCTCCGCCCAGAGTCATGACTTATTGACTCCTGTGTAAAGACGGTGACATGCACCCACGTTGCACTCCTTTTGCACAGGCCTCAGTGAGCCAGACACTGGCGAACGAGGCCAGTTGTTGTTGTTTGTTGTTGCTAACTCCTATTTAATCCCAACGACGCACAAACATTGTGGAGAAAGGAGGTCTTGGTTGACCCTGCCCTGTCAGTGGAGCGCTGTGAGTTCCCGGTGCCTGTAGGTGCCACTCCTACTGAGATCCTCCAGCAAGACCAGCGTGGCCATTCCTGATAAGTGAATCTAGGGGAAAGGAAAGCTCTGGGAGCAGAGTGCAGGCCGAGGGCCCCTACTTCTCCTGCCATTGCTCTGTTTCTTCCATTCCTTTGCAATGCTGTGGCCTCGGCCATCTCAGCCCTGGAGCGAAGGATGCGCCAGACCCGCCATGGTTTGGTTCGCTTGTGCTGAGCTGACTGCCCTGTGAATTATGAATGAGGAGACGTTGGAAGTGTTACTAAAATAACTCCGCAGAAAGGAATGGAAAAAACCTCTCTGCACGGGCGCTCAGCAAGATCCCGCTTGCTGGGCACGGAACCCCCCTACTCCCCGCCCCGCTGAGGGGCTGCCTGCAACGTCCTTTCCAGTCAAGGACAGAAATCCAGCCCCACAGAAATGCGGAGACAGAAATCTCCGGTACCAGAGTCCACTTGAGGTGGGCACCGAACATCTTCCCTTAGCTCCCTGGTAGTCCCTGCTCTCAAAGTGTGAGGTGGGAGGGGGCTGGAGGGTGCTCTCCCCTTATTTCACACGGCAATAGGAAAGTCCCAGACTGGCAGTATAACTCCAGGGGTGCCCTGATTGCCCCCTGGGCAATCCTCTCCCTATCTGCTCTGTTGCAATTCCTCCACACGCAGCTCTCCACACCTTCCTCCACCAGCAATCGGCGGGTCTGTCACCACCGCAGGGACATCTGCACAGCACCCAGTAAAAACACTCGGTGGCAGCTAGGCTGAGCGCTCCACCTGCAGAGTGGGGCTTGCAGGGCTCGTGCTGAGGAGAGCAGACTCGCCGTGTACACATTCAGGCTCCGCTGAAACCCGCCCAGGCTGGGAGACCTTCCCCTGTCGCCAGGCCTCAGCGCGTAGCCACGGCCTCAGTGTTGGAGGCCAGAGAGTCCTGGCAGCAGCATGGCTCTGTGGCCTGAGCTTTCCAAGCCGGTGGGGTCTGGCCGCTGGCATGGGTGCATCTGTGCATCCGCAGCCCATGTCCTGCAGGTGCTGTGGTGTACGGAGGGGGCCGGGCACCCTCCTTCTTAAGGAGCAGCCGTTCAGACCCTCGGCGGCCTCCCGGGTGGTGTGTTGTGTGTGGTGACGTGTGTTCTCGAGTGCGCCCGTGTCCTTGGTGTAACGTTGAAAACAAAGTGAAGAGCCACCCTTCTGTGCGTGCTGTTTTCATTGCGCACTGGGCCACATGGGGTGGTCCCTGGCGGCTCCCTGGCACCATTCGGTAGTGGGCAGCGCCACCGTGTGGGGAAGGAGGGGGATTTTCACTTCGAGCAGCGTATTTCAGACACAGCACGGACCGGCCTAAACGTCTCCCTTCACCTGAGCTCAAGCCAACCTGAACGCAGGTGCCAAACTCCCTGTCCCTGCCTAGAGGCCACCATCACGCAGAGACCTGCTCCTTGGAGGCCTTCGGCCCATCGATGTTCAGCATCATGATCCTCTGCATATCCAGCTTCTGAGCTGGTGGCTCAGGTCAGCTGATTTGGGCTGCAGAGCTGAAAAATCACTGGGTAAGCATTTAGACATGAGCTGGAGCCGAGTGCTGCGACCCCACAAGGTCCTAATGTCTACACAGACTCAGCTGACTCAGGCTGCTGCGGTCTTGCTTGGGGTCCTTGATTCCTGTGTAGACATACCCAGCTACGCCAATGTAACCAGTAGCGAGGCTGTGCTTGGGGTCCCTCCAGATGGGAAGCCCCCAAAGCTGGACTTCTTCCTAGACACCCAGATTTCCAGGGCTGTATTAGGGATGAGTCAGAACCAAATCCTGGCTCCAAGCACGTCAGAATTTTGCAAAAGGGCCCTTTATCGTTACAATAGGCTCAGCCAAACCCCAAGTCTCAACTACCTCCCCGTGGACTTCAAGGCTCCATCTGGATCTGGAATTTATGGTTTGAGCCTGCCTCCAGCTCCAATAGCTCAGCTCTCCATAGAAACACCCGTGTGTGTATCCAAATCATACCTCCGAACATCCAGCAATTGACACGGTGCCTGTGTGTCCTGTGGGGAATGTCTGTTTGTCTGTCCAATGACCGGTCTGTGTGTCATAGGCTCAGAGGCATCCTGTAACGGTTGCTGCTTCTGTGCTAGGTTTGTGGTACCGTCATGATCCTTCTCCTGGCTCCGGGCTGTGGCATCCCCAGGCCTCCTGAGCAATCAGGCCTGGGGGTTTGAAGGGCGGTATCTTCCCCAGGTTTATCCTGGCCCAGGCTGGGTTTGATTGCGGATCACTTTCATGGGCAAACAAAGTTTTGTGGTACCACATGCTTAGTGCTACAGGCCGTTTCTAGCACACGTGGCCATGGTGCGGACAGCTGTTCCACCCCTGAGCACGGGCACAGCCCCCCGCAGACCAAAGCCCTGCAGACATCCTGCTGGCCCCGGAAAGGAGGTGAAAACACACGAGGCAGTGCTGGCCGTCCAGGAAAAGGCAGCTTCCTGAGCTTGAGGGAATCCAATAGGGGTGGGGTGAGGAAGAGGCAGGCAACAGCTGGTGTCAAAGGGGATGTGCTCTCGGAGTGGCTGGGCCAGCAGAGCGCTCTGTGAGCCAAGCAGCAGCCTGGCGACCCTTCCTCAACTAGGCCAGAGCCAGCCTGGCAGGCCTGCCTCATCTCTGGTCCTTTGTGGGCGGGAGACTTGCGAGACACTGACAGCCCCCTTCCAGCTACCCACCCCTGAGAGACAGCATCTAACTGAGCCCTGCACCATCCGGGGCCCCTTCTGCATACCCCTTTCCCCCCAGCGCTCCCTTCCCCGGTGCCAGAGCAAATGCACGTGAAACCCGTAGGGCGTGTGTCAGCGTGGGCCTTTGTGTGCAGGGTACAGGGGAGGGGAGGCCAACAAGTGTCAATACCATTAGGATGAAGGAAAGCTCTTTTCTCCCGCTGGAGGCCCTGGTCGCTTGGTACCTGCGGCTGGAGCCATTGAGCCTCAGCGGCGGGGAGCGAGACATTCCAGCGCTGGCCGGCTGCACGTCCTCCCCCGTGTGCGCACGAGGCTGGGGAACGGCGGGCCCTGGAGAGTGACGCAGCTATTCCACACCCGGAGCGGTGTTTTCCCCCTTTATGGTGGGTGCCTAATGGAGGGGAGAGTGCTAATGGCTTCCCCTGTTGATACGGAGAGAGCCCCGGGAACGCTTCTAAGGGCTCCTGCTGTCCGGTCGGGAATGCGCAACGCTGTGCCGAGAAGGCACGCCGCCACCCCCAGCTCCCTTGCCTTTTCCTCCCCTTCCCTTCTCCGCTCCAACAGCCGTCGGTGCCCAGAGCGAGGGACTCAGGGGCGGGGGGCCCTGCCCCACTGCCCTCTGGGTCACGGTTTGCTTTCTGTCCTACCCTCTCGTTCCATCGGACTGGCTTTCCCCAGCGCCCAGGGATGGCAGGGCCTTGGTGAGACTGCCCTTCGCCTCCCGGCTGAATCCCATCCCAATTGCCATAGCTCAGGCAGGCACCGTGGAGGGGCTGTGCCACATGGCCATGGTGGGGGTCAGCAGAGAACCCTGAGCTTGCGAGCGAGGCTTTGGCCAGACACACGGAATGAGGCTCCCCCGGGGGGGCACGGCGGGAGATTCTGTCCCCTGGGAGGGACAAGTCAGACCACAGGGTCTCATGTTGGTTATTGGGTTCTCAGAGGCCTATGGCCAGTCGCCGATCACAGACCAAAAGACAGGCCTTGCCCTGGGGTGCTGGCTACCTAGGCACAAGGATGGTTCTTTCTGGCCTCCCGCTCCAGGCATCTGCATTTCCACTGAGCTGGGCGGCGTCGAGGGGGTTCAGCACCCCCTGGACCAGGCCCCCAGCACGCAGCTCCCACAGTGGAGACTAAAATAGCTTTCGCTCCCCTGCGGCTGGTATGTCTCCCCTCTCCTCTCCCGACAGCCGGGCCCCTCGCTACCAGTGCTCTGCGCCAACCGGGCCATTCACCGCCACGGCTCCTGAGGCCTGGCCTCCCCTTGCAGGGCACGGCTCGCGGACCAGGCTGAACTGAAAGGAGGCTTCCTCGCTGGCTGCCCGCGTGACGCAGGCTCAGGCCCAAGGCAGCGCAGTCCCACACCAGAGATGCGGTTCTTCCGGAGGCGCCCGCTTGCTTAGCACATCCGCTCTTTGAGGCCAGGCCCGCCGTTTTGTTCTGGGGTTCTTCAGCACCCAGCCCGGGGGGGAGGGGTTGGCCTATGACCGGGGCTGCTGGGTGCACTGAAATAAGATCACATTACACCGAAATGAGAATGAAATCGTCTCCTTGCTGCGCAGACGGCCCTCCCAGGGGGAACTACAGCCCCGAGGACCGGCCCCTCCGCTCGGAGGGCGAACCCTGGCGTTCTGGGCAGGAGCTCCACGCTCAGCCACACAAGCTGTGGAGCCGAGGTGGCAGGGGAGCGTACCACGGCTGCCACCTGCCAGCTCCTGCCTCCTCCGGGCTCCCTGCAGCACAAGCCCCGGGGCTAGAAAACCTGCAATAGCCCCTCTCCCTGCAGCTGCCTGAATGGCGTGAGCCACGCTCCGGTGGGAGGTGCACATGGGGCTAGGCTGCCGGGGGGCTCTTGGCAAGAGGGCTGGGGAAGCGGAGAGGAAGGGACCCAGGGAACATCTGTCCGAGGCCCACTTGGGCTGTATGTGGAGGGGGGAGCCGCACAGAGCTTTCACCTTCTTTCCTCCCCCCAGGGGGTGGATGGGGTGTGCTCTCCCCACATAGAGCCAGCGTCCTCTCTCCTGCTTGGGGCAGCTGGTGCCCTGGAAGAGGG